TCTTAATGTTCTTTACCAACTCTCCAGGCGATTCTGACACACATCACAGTTTGAGAACCACTGTCTTAGGCAGTTAGGTAAATGGAAACAACATGTTCCTGGGGAAGAGTCAACTTAAATTTTGGAGCAGATACTCAGTGTACCTGTAGAGACAGCCCAGAGATGTGTGAGTCTTTCTACATTGGTGTCTTTCTTTAAGCAATCCTGCTTTTTTTTTTTTTTTCCCTGGATGGAACTATTCTTAATTATAAACATTTCTGCCAGCACTCTGTAATGCCATTAAGTTAATATTTAGTATTTATATACTATTTTGCAGATGCTTCAGGGAAGAGAGATGAGTAAGACCCTGTCCCTGCCTTCATGAAGCCTATATTCTGACAGAGAAGCTCACATTAGGGTCCCTCTTTCCCTCCCAGCTCTGAGACTATGATCTGGGGGGAATCCCTGCATCCCATTCTAGGCTACAGACTGGTGGACCCCTCCATACACTGTATCTGTCTTCACGCATGAGCTTCTGGGTGCTGCCTCTGGGCCAACAGCTCTCCCTGAAACAAAGTCAGCCAGAGTTGAGGGGGGAGGAGAGGCTGTTCAACTACTGCTTTGTTAGTTCTGTCCAGGAACACTAGTCAAAGGGTGTAAAATCCCTCTGTATCTCCCCAACTGGCTTCGCTTTTATTTCCTTTTTTCACAGGCAAGCAACTATGTTTCCCTTCTAAGAAGTGGTTTGCAACATTTCAGTGATTTGTTTCTAGCCCCTGAGCATAAGATTCTCTCTGCAGCCCATGCTTTTCCTCTACCCAGCCTTTTTCTACTCTTCGTCAACTCAGTGTCTCATCTTTTGTAAAGATTCTAGTTGATCTTGGCAGTGATAACTGACAAAAAGCAAAAATAATACCACCACTATCACCACCCACACACATTCTGGATGGCTCTTACACAGGTGCTACAAAGCATTTTAACTAGCGTTTGTACTGAGACCACGATCTTCCTTTAGAGTAGGGTCTTTTATTTCCTTTGTTGAGCTTTCTTTAGATCTCTAGGTCTCCAAACAGTATAAGGTACACAGTAGGTACTCAGTAAGTGTTTCTGGCCAAATGAAGTAGAAGCATATGCCATCGTGCTTCAGGAGTCCTCGCTGTGCAGTCAAATATTTCACAGGAGATGAGATGGGGACCCAGGGATGGAGCAATCTTGTCCAAGACCACCCAGCATGTGAGAAACAGACTGAAAACCAGGTCTTGACTCTTAGTCAAGGGAATTTTTCTCTGGTACCATCTGAAAATTGCTCACTTGGTAGGGGAGGGCTCTCGTATCAAATACAGAAAATACTGCTTTTTGGGTTACAAACAGAATTATAAGTAGAAAAATAAAAAGAAGCTCAAAGGAAAATACTGCATTAATAGTCTCTCCTACATGAGCTTTTTTGCTACTAGAAAATCTTTCAAGTCTGAATCCACATGGGTTACTGATATCTTTGGGCCACCCTCTGCAAATGGCCCATTTTCTCCTTAGTTTAACCCATGGGGAGTGGAGTGAAATGAGCAGGTGGAGTCCAAGTCTTCCTATTTTGGTTATTATGAGTTCCCACAGTTGGAGAACAGCCATGGTTTTCCCATTCATGCCCTGAGGCACCTGCTGCTAACTCCCTAGGCCCTTTCCCAGAATCTCTCACTCCTGAACTGTGAGGAGATGGACCAGAATCTCTCAGGAATCACCTGTGGTGGGATGCTCTGTGAGTAACCTCACCAACCGAGGACAGAAAAAGTCGTGAAGGTCTATTCTGCCTCCATTCGGGTGCTCTGAGCAGACAAGGGGCACTGGGGTGTCCTGAAACTCTATGGTTATGCCCCATTGGAAGGCTGCCTGCCACTGTCATCCACAGATGACTAGCAGACACATGACACATGACACATGACAACACAGACGCCATGCACACGGCGTGTCTGCCCCGAGATGGAGAATGAACAAATGTTTGCTCTTCATTAGGCTGTATCCTATTCCTCACAGCTGTTCCTTGTTGCCTTAAATAGTCTTAATGGGGCTGTAATAACCAGATACCTTCTGGTCACCCTACTGGGCTCATCATTCATTACGATGACAGAATTCCTGGGTTGGGCTGGATTAATAGGCTTCCCTTCTCTCCATGACAAAGATACCCCTTCTGTTGTCCCTCATCTTGCTTGAGCCTGCTGCTCTTCTGGCCATGATGATGCCTGCGCTTTAGGCAACTCTTCTCTCCAGCCAACATCTCTTAGTATTTGTTAGTGTGCTAAGGCTTTTTTTTTTTGAAGAAGACTCTGTAGTCCAAGATCATGAGTAGAAGCCCCTTAGCTTCAATGTGGCTGTGTTCTATCATCTCTGTGAGAGGTTATCACATGCCCCATGGCATCGGATATGACCAGCTGCCGGGAGAGTAGGTGAGGTGATGGGTCTGGGGGCACAGGCAAAGCATGCTCTGGGGACTCCAAGGGGTCTCCTTAGGCCAGTGTCCCTCAACTCTGAGAGCATGTTATAGTTACCTGGAGAGTTCAGAAAATAGAGATCTCTGGATCCCACCTCTAGGAATTCTAATTTAATTAGTATGAAGGACAGCCTAGGCATTGGTGTTTTTAAAACTTCCTTAGGTAATTCTAATGTGTGGCCAAGACTGAAAACCTCCAGACCTCTTACTTGTATTGCAGGTGAGGCTAATTAGCCTTCGGTCTCCTTGAGTTCCTAGGAATCCAGGGCCCCTGGTCAACCATGGTTGCCCGGACTTGAGATGTAACTATGGGGGTAGTTGTTCCAGAAAGGGGTCTTGGCCTGGACAATTAGTTTCTACTTAGGTTTACAAAATATGTGGGACGTAAGCATTGTTTGGATCACTCTGACCAACCCCTTTTCCTCATAAATATGGAAATGGAGACCCAGAGAAGGAGAATGACCTGCCCAAGGTCACTCAGATACTTAATTAAAGAGATAGGACTTGAATCCAAGCATTTTCCTTATTAATTATTAATTCAGGATGATTCATATATGACTTCAAGTCATTAAACTTAAAATATATATTGAAAGAGTCAAGTTTACATGCCAAAGAGCATGAGCTGATTTTATGTCTGTACAGGAGAGAATGTGTGTGGGCTTGTCTGGGCTCTGGGCCTGGTCTCCTGACTTGAGCAATTCCATCTTTTCCTTCAATTACTGTCCCACCGCCTACCTGCCGCTGGTCTCTCTGCTCTGATCGATTCCAGTTAGTTACATCGAGAATGTGAATTCAACTTTAAAAAATGCTGCTCCCTTCTATGGCTCTGCATGGCCCCTAGAATAGAATCCAAACTCCTTACCCTGGAAAATCTCCCCTTGCTTCCCCACCCTAGCCCACTCCTATTGACAGTTATAGCCCCATCTCCCTCTGTGCTCTGTGTGCCGAAGTTGGTGGACCAAGCTGCTTCTGGTTGTCTTAATTCAACCAGCTATGCACACCTCCTTGCCATAGACTGTTCTAGTCCCTCTGCCCAGAACACCCTTCCCTGCTTTCATTTGATGATTCTTATTTCTCAAGCTTTGGTTTAGGCTTTATGTGTTCAAGAAAGCCAATGGCCATCCATCCCCAGGCTAGGTTTAATGCACACCACCTCTAAGGGTTCCCACAGCACTCCACTGTGATGTTTTCCCAAGATACTGAAGTGATCAGCTCATCTACCTGTGTCTATGAAGCGGCTCTAAGTTCTCCCAGAAGGCAAGGGCTCCCTCTCCTCTCAGTTCCCAGAGCCTAGTACAACGTCTGAGCTATGGCGAGCACTCAAACATCTTTGAGTTGACCTTCCACAAGGCTTGTCCTTCGTTATCATCTCTGTTAATGCTCACTTGCGTCATGACCTCGAATAGTCTTGTGGCTTTAATATCACTTCTATGACAATAACTGCCAAAGTTTCTTCCTCAGCTCAAGCTTCTTCCCCAAATTCCAGACTCATATCTCCAACTACCTACTTTCCATCTTCACTCACGTGTCTAATGGACATCTCAAACTCAGTTCAAAACTGAACTCCCAATTGTTCCATTGACCCCAAGGCTGCTCTCCCTGCAGCTTCCCCATCGCTGTGGCAACTCCATCCTCCCTGTGGTTCAGGTAATAGCCCTGGAGTCACCCTTGATTCCTCTCTTTCTCTTTCACACGCCACGCTAATGTGTTAGGAAACCCTGGCTGTTCTATCTGTAAGACAGGTTCAGAATCCAACCATTTCTCACCACCTCCACTGCCACACCCCAGTGGGGTCACCATTGTCTCTTGCCTGGGTTACTTCCATGGCCTCTTAACTGGTGACCCTGCTTTTACTCTTGCCTTCCTAGGTCTTTTCTCAACACAGCAGCTAGAATGGGCATTTCAAAATAATGTCAGATAGTTATGTGTCTTCTCGAACCTCTGCAGTGGCTTTCCATTTCATTCAGAGTAAAAGGCAAAGTCCTTAGAATGGCAATATGAGGCACTACATGGTCAGATTCCCCCCCTTATTTCTCCAATGTCATCTTTTATTACTTCTTGTTCACTCTACTCATGTCACCTTCGGCCTCCATGTCCTCCCTTGATCTGGAACTTTCTTCCTCTAGATTTTTTCTACCATATCTCTGCTCAAAATTATCTTTTAATTAAGGACTACCTCTCTACCCTATTTGATGTTGGAACCCATTTGCCTTATGTCCCTGGAATATACTATCTCCCTTCCTTGCTCTATCCTTTCTTTTTCCATGGCACTTGTGCAAGTGTGTACCGTCCAAAGACTGTATTTTACAATATCTCCTATTCTGCAATCTCTTGTAGAATCCTGCAACTGCCTCTCCATCTATCAAGAGATGGAGTTTAATCCCCTTTCCCTAGAATACAGGCAGTTATTACTTGCTTATAACCAACACAGCGAGGTAGTAGTAATGCTGTCTGACGCCTGAGTCTAGATCACAAAGGATGATGTACTTTCTACTGTTAGCTAAGAGGCTCACCTTTGGAGCTATGTGAGAAAGCCCAGGCCACCTGAAGAGGCCGTGTGTAGGTGTTCCAGCTGAAAATCCTAGCTGAGACCCCAGTGGACAGCCTGCAGCAATCACTAGATAGGAAGGTGAAGACACTTTCATGATTTCAGCCCCAGCCTTAGAGGCTTCCACATCAACATTTCACACATCAAGGAGCAGACGCAGATGTGTGAAATGTCCACATTTCTGACCCACAGAATCCATGGGCACCATAATTGGTTGTTTCATATCATTCAGAGTTGGGATAGTGTCTACCACAGCAAATAGTATGCTTCACTGTTTCACATTCTATATTATTTACTAACATATTAAGTGAATTGTTGTAAAATGACTTGTGTTTTTTTGTCTGAATTCTCTGAATTAGAATTTAGAGATTTATATTTTCTCTGAATTATAATTCTTTTTGTTTTATAGTTATACTATTCGCAAGCCATTTCCTGTTATTTGTGAGCATCAAGAATGGTGAAACTAGCCTTCATCTTCTATCAATATGCATTTGTAAGACCTTCCTCTGTCCTCTTGTTGAAAACCTAGAGAGTATTACTGAAGTGTCAAAGATACACACACTTCATTTGCTCCAACATTAGCCCAGGACTAGAGTGAAGAGCGGTAAATGTCTTCTCCAAGGCTTTCAATAAAATAACTTGTTTTTATGTCTGCAATTGATTTCTTGTTTCTCCTGAGAGAACACAAGTTTCATGAGGGAAAGAATTTTTGTCCAATTTGTTCAGTTCTGTATCCCAAATATCTAGAACACTGCCTGGGAATGGTAAATACTTGGTGAATATTTATTGAACAGATTTATAAGTGACTGTACAGCTGCATGGATTTTTAGAAGACACAGTTTTGCTATATAGCTGAGAGTCCCTTCTATGTCAACTTGTCAAACACACACATTTGCATGAAGAAAACTGAGCAGGAGTGACAGGCAAGAAAGAGCACATAACATGTTGGTTTGAAAGTAGGATTGGAGGCTCAGGATGCACATATGGCTACAACAGGGCATGGTGTTCAAGCAAACCTGTGATGCCAGGCCTGTTATGTAGATTCCAGGCATCACGGGAACTCTGATGATCAAAGCCATATCCACCGCATGTCTAGGGAAGGGGACTGGCAGATTATGGAAAGGTTCCCATTAAGTAATGCTGCTTCCCACTTAACCTCCAGCTAATCAGAAAATATGTTAACTGGAAGCTAAACATTCCAGTTAACTGATTAATATAATTTGAACTAATTGCAGGCAGGACTAGTCCAGTTAGTGATATTTCCATGTGGGGTCTAAATGATGGAGCAACATGTATTGTTTTCTCTCTCATTATAAAAGCATATCATTTCCACGCCAGAAAGTTTGGGAAATGCAAAAAGGCACAAAAATAAATTTAAAGAAAGATCAACCCAAATCGTACCACGCAGGGATGTGCTTTCCAAAAAGATATTATCCTGGAAGGAAATGCACTAGTCAAATATATTTGTATTTTTGTTTTCAAATTTTAGACCTCGGGTTTTTAGAAGAGTGTTTCTCAGTCTTTGACTATTTGCTTCTCTTTCTGATAAAGAAAGACCTTTCTCCCTTAATGCTTGGAACCTTAAATGAAATAGTATGACTAATGACTTATAAACCATCATGGCACTGAATATGCCTTTACCAACAGCACACCCTCTCCTGACATTCATCCACCAAACAGATGTACAGAGGTGTGTATAAGCACATACCCGTGTACCCCCTCCAGACTGTCAGGGACTGGGAGCATTCAGCAACCCCCCTAGGAAGTAAGGCCCAGGGATGGGAGGTGAGGAGACCATCTCCTTCAACTATTACCCTGATTTCCTTCCCAAATTTGTGGAACAAGGATATGAAAAAATGCTATTTTACTGGGACCATATATGAAATTAAGCACAAGTTCTCCTGAGCTGGTAATTACTCACATTCATGGACATAAACGTTTTTGTTCTCATAAATGTGTCAAACATGCCCCTTGCCATCGTGCTTTATACTCTCATAAAGTTTTAGGACCAGACAGGCCCTTAGAAATCACCTTATCCAAACTCTCCATTCAACTAATAAAGAATTTAAAACCCAGGTAGCAAAATGATATGCTAATATCACACAGCTCATTGTATTGGAATCTGGCTGTCTGGACTCTGCCGCCCGCCCTTTCTCCCCGGCCCCCCCCCGGCTCCCCCCCAGTTTAGCACAATTTCGTGAGCTCACATAGCTTCTGAGATACTGCTTTGTAAGCTCTTTCTCAGAATACAGTCTGAGAGATAAACTTAGTCTGCATTATCAAGAATTCCAAATATGTAGAGTCTGAGTCAATGCATTTGCACTGCACACAGTGTAACCAAACCTAGCATATTTGGGGCACATGGTGCATGTGGAAAAAAAAACAGCACGAAAACTAGTATACATAACTCAGAGCCTGGCACACAGTAGATGCTCGAAAGATATTTTGGGAAGGAAGGAGGAGAGGGAGAGAGAGAGGAAAGAAACAGTAAAGAAAGAAATGCTTGCTTGCTTTCAAAGCTGGCTGCACCAGGAGGCTTGCAAAATTCTTTCTGGGGACTGAGGTGGTGCTCTTCAGTTCAGGAAAACATCTTAATGATTTTTTTCTCCTGCTTTATTTTCCTCTTTGTAAAAGGTGAGGCCTGATGGGCAAGGTCTGAAGCAAAAGGAGGGGGACAGAAAAAGCTGAATTGTTTTGCATAAACAAATGAGTGTGGGGGGAGTGTGGGAATTCTTTCCCTGGCTTCTGGGAAAAAGAAAAAAAAAAAAAAGAAAAATTGTGAGGACACCCCAAAGAACTTTTGGGACAGAGTGGACAGAGACCTGTCGGGAGATGGGAACCTTGGGAGTGCTTTTATTCAGACACTTCCTGTACTTGGCTGTGGTCCTTCTGTTACTCCCCAAACCTCAGTGACAGCCACTACTCACAAGTCCTTCGCACTGGAGATGCCCTGGGAAGGGAGGGAAGGGATGTTCAAAGTCGGAGTGAGGAGAAGGTACAAAGAGAGAGAAGCAGATACCAGAGGTGACTGTGACTCGGTGGGTGGGTGTTGAGAACACAGCCGAAGCAAGATAACAGGGCCAGAGGGGACTACAAGCAAGCAGAAGTCATAGACAGGAGAGACTGGCTGGCTTTTCCTTCCTTCCTCTTTTTTTTTTTTTTTTACAACCAGTGGGAAGGGACTTGAGCCATTCTATCTTCCTTTTGAAGGAAGGCAGGAATCCAACTGATTCAGTAGGTCTGGGTGGGGACTGAGATGGTACCTTTCCAACATGCTCCAAAGTGATGCTGTTGCTGCTGGTCTGGGGACCATCCTCTGAGTAGTAAGGATTTAGCACCCACGAGCCTCTGCACTCATCAGCAAGTTTCTCCACAGGCTGGTCTCTTACCTCATATTCCTCCTTGAACCCGTAGCCCTGGCCTCTCTTCATCTGGGTGATGTGCTGCAGCAGGTCAGCCACCCTGATGGCGGGCTGGAACTGGTCCCGGGGATAGCTCATCTCCACGGGGTCGCAGGCCCGGTAGGGGTGAGTCTGGATCGTGAGGGTGGGCTGGGACAGCTCCCCACGGCTGCCATCTGCTTCGAAGAGAAGGAGGCAAAGCACACATCACCTATAGGAGTTTTGTCCTCTGTCCTCCCCACCACCCCCAGGGCAGGGGGAGCTAACTCAGGACTCAAGTGATCAGGAAGCGGCAGGAAGAATAGAGACACACTGCTTCCCTTGCATGGCTGTGGTGGTAGATTTAAAAATTAAAACCACAAACAAACCAATGAACACAATCATCCTGGGTTTGTTTCTATTTCAAGGGTGTTTATCAATGGAGCAGAGACAAAATTCCAGGTTGGCTGTCATCTTCTGCCTGTCTCAGTCCTTCCTCCAGGCTTGACAGGGTGGTCTTGGCCAAGTAGGGCCAATCCCAGAGCCAGTGAGAAGCCAGAGAGCGATTTAGGAAATAGGATGCCTGGAAATCATCTCTGGTGCCTGCCTGCTGTTGAGGAGAGCCCCAGGTCTTTGGAGATCAGAGTCATGTGTTTGCTCCAGCTCCATTCGCCTATATCCCTGGGAGGAACTGAAGCCACTCTTGGACCTCTGGCAGATAGCAGGGACCCTGGCCCTCTCAGCTGCTCTCTCCAGCTTTGGGCTCTGCAACAGTGGTCAGCTTCTGCCTGCTATCTAGTTTCCCCATCACTTCACACTCTTGATCCAGGAGTGTCGCTGAACCTACTGAGCAGGTAAGGAAGCCTGAACCTCTTCCTTCAGTGCCGCCGGCTACTTCTCCCAGGACTGGCTTCTATGCCCCATCTCCCTCATCAACTCTCTCCTTGATATAAGATCTGTACTCTCCTTGATAATAATCTTTATACCCACTGAGTCACACTAACTGCCCTCTGCTTGCTTGGCCACCCTGGAAACTGATGTGTGCCCAAGGGAGATTTGAATCCCTCTGCTCCCCTCAGACCAGGACAACCACATGCCTCCATACTGACTACCTGCCAAGCATACACTGTTATCTTTCAAAGCCAGTTCACAACCATCCAGTCTTGGTTTCCTCAACCTCCTCCCAAAGACAGGGACTGTCTATGCCCCAGACCCTCCAGTTGTGACACATACGAGATCAGAACTGCCACAGTTGATATGCCTCATCCTGGTATTTTCAGGCACCTTAAGGTACCCACACAGACCCCAGTAAGCCTATGCCACAGTCACTCCCAGGGAGGCTTTATTTTAGGCTTGTGTGTCGCTCATGTCATAACAATCACTCAGACATTGATTCTGTATGTGGAAGTGAAATTTCCTATGTGACAGCAAGAGCTAAACTGTTTGTAGTAAGGAAAGGATTGCCAACAGCAAAATCTAGAGTGTACAGGCTTATGTACAAGAAGAAGGGTCTAGGTGAGATGTTAGCACAGCTTTCTGGACAGTACAGAAGAAAAATTCTGCTTCCTTTTCATCCTGGGACTGTAGCTAACATGTAGCACATCTTCAAAGGCATTGTTTGTTTGCATATCTATCTATTTATTTATTTAATGTTTATTCATTTTTGAGAGAGAGACAGAGCGTGAGTAGGGGAGGGGCAGAGAGAGAGGGAGACACAGAACTGGAAGCAGGCTCCACGCTCTGATCTGTCAGCACAGAGCCCGATGTCGGGCTCTAACTCACAGAATCGGAGACCATGACCCGAGCTGAAGTCAGACGCTTAACTGACTGAGCCACCCAGGTGCCCCTTCACTGGCATTGTTTAAATGGAGAGCTTTGCAAACGTGGGGGCTGCTCCCACTCTCCAGCACACCCTTGTGATCAGGAGGCTGATTTACTGAGAACTTGCTTTGAACATGCCAGGGACTGGTAGCACTGGCAGTGCACACAACATAGACTACACCCTCAAGGTCTGGTAGTCGAGTACGGCAGACAGATGAGAGGAGCCACCTGATGCACAAGACAGAAGCCGGAGAAGGGAAGCACATTCAGGGAAGAGCAAGGAGGCTGAGAAGGAGTGAAGAAGGTGGGTGGGCACGTGATGGGGGCCGAGCTCTTGGAGATGGTGTGAAGCAGGTCAGGAAGGCTGTGACTGTGAGAATCTCCTAGCCAGAGGGAAGCTGTTGAAGGGGCTTAAGAATTTCTCTCTTTAAGGACATACTACTTTCTGCAGTTGCCCCAGCTGTCATAGACATGAGGCACACTTCCAGCGAGTATCACTCCTGTGAGACTATGGTGGGGCTGGGGATGGAGAAGAGGCATTACTGTTTGCTTCTACAGATGCTGCACCTCACGATGCCTAGGGGGGCATGAGCCGGAGCCGGTGCCTGGAGCCCTGTGTCTCCCACCTCAACTGACATCACACACGGGGGCAGACAGATATCTTCAGAGATCCATGGTCTTTCAAAAGACCTGGGAAATGAACTGCCTGGAAGACGGACTCCCTGGCAGAGATAGGCTTCTTAGGAATGGGCACCTGGCACATTTTGTTCCCCAAATGTTCCCGAAACCAATGTGGATATTTCCCCCTAAACACAGTGCTTGACAGACTGTAAACTTGGTGTCAGCAAAACCAACACTGAAATGGAAAGTAAATGCATTTGAAATTTAACAACTTTGTATTGCTGTAACATTTGTAATAATGTCAACGCTGGTGCTAACGATGCTGTGAAGGCTCCGAACCAAGGGGCTTTCAAGGTTTATTAATTCAACTAGTTGGACTCCCCTCTCCAATGTATCTTACCTCACCTATTCCCTTATTAACCTCCGATAATGCAGAAGTGATGCCTTTTATCACAGCCCATTTCACCAGACGCACTATACTTAATTTTCCATCATTAGGTTTAATGAAAACCCAATTTCACAACTCACTTCTCTCAGGAACCTACAAGTAATGCTACGTTTTTATCAGCCCCAATTAAAAAGCGTTATGATGTTCCTATTCGAGAGGGAGCCTTAAAACTAACGTGCGATTCTGCGGCTAATTCAACAAGGGCGCTGGAATTCGCATGCTGCTCATAAAATGTAACTCAAACCAGCTGGCCCAGGGAGAGACTGCTGCTCATTTTTCTCCTCACCAGACCCTTGATTTTCGTGCCATTTCAACTTCTCCTTTATGGATTTTGCATGTTTATTTATCACACAATAATATTTTGGATTTCTTTTGCACTTTTTCTATAGCTGTTGCCTAAGCCTGTGGGTTCCCCTTCAACAACTTCTGTGGTTGCCTGTGAGGGGCTTGTGGGTGATGCATAGGAGATCCTGGGTCACCACTGTCCCTCTACTGGCTCTCCTTCCTTCTGGCTTTGATTTTTCTATTTTTTTTTTTTTTATCCCCCGTATAGATCTCCCTCTAGCTCCAGACATATATTTCCAATTACTTGCTAGGAATTGCCACTCCAACTGGTTAACAAATATTTACTGAGAATCTACGTTGTACAAAGCTCAGTGTGAGATACCACGTATATACAGGGGGGTGGAGGAAAGTGTTCAGAGGGCGATAAGCACGCAACAGCCCTTTTGAGAAAGAGAAAGAGATAAGGTGTGTAAAAACAAGTCTAACAAAAGTGGGAAGGGACAGATGGCTGGGAGATGGGAGGGTGATGTGCTGTGGAGCTGGGCAGAAATGTTTTTCAAGCTATAGGCATTCTAACCCCCTCCCCAACCTCTGTGGTTTCTGCCATAACTATGTACAGCTTATATCAGCTCTGTCTGATAAAACTTTCTGTGATGATGGAAATGGTCTATATCTGTGTTGTGCAATATGGTAGCCACTAACCACATGTGGCCCATGAGCATGTGAAATGTGGCTAAAGTGAATGAGGAACTGAATTTTAAGTTCTGTTTAATTTTAATTAATTTAAATTTAAATAGACACATGGCGGCTAGTGGCTATTCTATTGGGGAGCACAGATCTGGAGAAGAAGAAAAAGGGAAATGGAGAGACCTCGAATTATGTCATTAGGGTAAAGAGGTCCAAGGAAATGTAACACAAGCCACATAAGTAATTTAAAATTTTCTTGTAGCAACATTAAATAAGGCAAAATGCATTAAGCGAAATTAACTAAAAAAATAAATTTTATATGACTCAATTCACAATATTTCTACAGTCAGCATAAAATCATTAATGATATATTTTACACTCTTTATTCATAGTAGGGCTTTGAAATTCAATGTACAAAATTTTGCACTTGCTTCAGTGTAATCTTTCAAAATTTTTTAAACGTTTATTTATTTTTGAGAGAGAGACAGAATGCGAGTGAGGGAGAAACAGAGGGAGAAGGAGACACAGAATCTGAAGCACAATCCAGGCTCTGAGCTGTCAGCACAGAGCCTGATGTGGGGCTCAAACTCATGAACTACAAGATCATGACCTGAGTCAAAGTCGGACACTTAACTGACTGGGCGACACAGGTGCCCCGCTTCAGTGTGGTCTTATTTCAATTCAGACTAGCCATATTTCCAGTGCTTAACAGCATAGGTGAGTAGTGGGCAATGCAGGTGTACATAGACTTATCTAGTGCCAAGCCAAGTTTTATTTATTTATTTATTTTTTTACAAATAGTTTATTGTCAAATTAGTTTCCACATAACACTCAGTGCTCATCCCCACAAGTGTCCTCCTCCATGCCCATCCCCCCCTCCCCCCCACATCCATCAGTCCTCAGTTTTTGTCAGCATTCAAGAGTCTCTCATGGTTTGCCTCTCTCCCTTTCCCCACCATTTCCACCCTCCTTCTGCCCCTTGTTCCTCCGTCAAGTTCCTCCTAATCCTCCTATACGTGCAAACATATGATATTTGTCCTTCTCTGCCTGACTTATTTCGCTCAGCATAACACCCTCAAGGTCCATCCATGTTGCTACACATGGCCAGATTTCATTGTTTCTCATTGCCATGTAGTATTCCATGGTATAGATAAACCACATCTTCTTGATCCATTCATCTGTTGATGGACACTTAGGCTCTTTCCACGTTTTAGCTATTGTGGAGAGTGCTGCTATGAACATTGGGGTACACGTGCTCCTATGCCTCAGCATTTCTGTATCCCTTGGGTAAATTCCTAGCAGTGCCAAGCCAAGTTTTAAAGAGAGCTGGTTTAGAGT